AACAAGGGTAGAAATATGCAAATAAATGCGCGCGGCCGGCCGGGATCCGGGAGGGGCGGGTCGATCCCGGGGCGAGGGGGAGGGGCCGAGGCCGTGGGGAAGGGAGCCTGAGACTAGAGCTGGTGACAACGGCCTCAGAGTCGTTCCCCCGGCAGGTGGAGAGAAGAGGGCGGGGCGCGACGGAGATCCACGCTGGCGGAGAGAACTATGACAGCACCTCTAGATTCTTGGCCCTGGCGGATGACGTGGCACCATTTCGAATGGGGTTTTTAAACACCTGGCTTTGTTTGACTAAAAGCAGGAAAGAAAAGAAGCAATGCGTGAAAGGATGTGAGAGATTCAAAAGAGAGAATGAAGTGGGAAGAAATGAAAGGAAGGAAATAAGTGCGAATAAAATCTCTCCTCTCAGAAAATAGGTAAGGAACATGACCTATATTTTGCAACTTGTGTTGGATCAGACTTACCCTGCAGGGATTTGCAGACTATTAATAAATTTAGGAGGACACGCGTGCAAAAGAAAATTAAAAGAGATTACTTTTGCGTTCTAGTCCTGAATAAATAAGCTTATTTTTGCACAGTCAGGAACTGTGAAAATCTTTAAATAACAGTTCTCACCTCAGTTCATTCATTACCACTTTATTGCTTGCTGGCTATAGAAATATATTTTCTATCTGCTATTCCTCACCTATAAATTGGGATATTAAATATCTAGCAAGCACTTTTTGCATAGTGTTAGACACAGGGTAAGGGTTCCATTAACGCCGGCCATAAAATAGTATTAGTAGATGTAACATTGCTTAAGCCTTTCCTGTGTTCCAGGAACTAAGCTAAGCCAAAGTTGGGTTATTTCTTAGTAACTTCTACCAGAAAAGGTTTATAACGAGATTTTTAAGTTTACAATATGTATATGAAACTCAAGATTCATGTTAAGTAAATTATAAGACTGCAAGTGCAAAATATGTATCATGGTAGCTGATTAAAATAAGTTATCTTCGGTACCAGTGGATGGTGTAATGGTTACATTGCTGGACTCCTATCTAGTTGACCACAGTTCGAGTTCTGGACCCTGCAACTTAAAAAAACTCAAACCAGGGACCAGCGGTTAGGGTAATGGCTACGTTGCTGGACTCCCACTTGGTCAACCGCGGTTCGCGTCCCAGGCCCCACCGCTTAAATTCGCAACCGGCGTGTGTGCGTGTGTGACCAAGATCCCGAGAGGAGAATGAAGGAGAATGAAGGAGAAGGGATTGCGGCGTGGCCATCCCCCCTGGGGGGTGATCTCTCACTTTCTGTCTCTCTGTCTCTGTCTGTCTGTCTGGCGAGCGCACGTGCCCTATAGCAAAAACCTAAAAAAAACCTCAAAAAAAAAAAAAAAAAAAAAAAAAAGTCAAACCAGGCAGCAGGTGGTGGGGTGGTCAGGGCCACTGGACTCCCACTGGCCAACCACTCACTGTTTAAGTCCCAGACCTGGCTGCTTTCTCACTTTCCCTCTGTCTCTCTCTCTCCTTCTCTCTCTTTCTGTCCCTCTCTGGTCAAATTAAGATGAAATAAATTAAAATTAAATTGAAAAAATTATTTTAATTAAAAAAAATTTTTTGAGAGGTTTTTCGTTATACGGTACATGCGCTCGCCAGACAGACAGAGAGAGAGAGACATAGAGACAGAAAGCGAGAAATCACCCCCCAGGGGGGATGGTCACACCGCAATCCCTTCTCCTCCATTCTCCTCTCAGGATCTTGGGCACGCACACACACGCGCCCGGCGTGAGTTTTAAGCCACCGGGTCCGGGACACGAACCACGGTCGACTACGTGGGAATCCAGCAACAACCATTACGCTAACTGCTGGTTCCAAGAAAAGAATTATTTGATTTAACTTTATTTATTTACTGATTTTTTATTTTGACCAGAGAGGGACAGAATGAGAGAGAGAAAGTGAGAAAGCAAGCTGCCACGTCCAGGACTTGAACCGTGGTCAGCCATGTGGGAGTCCAGCACCCTTAACCACCATGCAATCTTCTGGCCCCTAAAGAAAACAATTCTTAAAAGTAAAAATATCCTCACACCGGATGCCTATGCATACAGACCAAAGATCCCAAGAGGAGACTAGCAGCTCAGCCATCCCCTCAGTGGGTGATTTCTTGCTTTCTGTCTGTGAACATCTCTCTGGTGATGTAACCTACAGCAAAAATCTCTCACTCAAAAAAAAAAAAAAAAAAAAAATAAGGTTCTCTTCTTAGAATTCCTTGTTCTCTCTTCCAGCCTCTTCTTACCTCTTCCTACTCCACTATATCAACACGCCTTCACTGGTTCTTTAGCTTTTTTATTCCACATTAACCTTTTATATATATCCAGAAATATTCCAAAAATTAATCTGGAAAATGATCCTCAAACTGAACAATACTTTGATGTTCATCTTTCCTTTTAAAAGCCAGAGGTTTACTAAAAGAGAGGGATTCGAGGGAAAATCTATTCATCCTCTTCCTATTCCTGGATAGCACTTGCACTACCGCTGCTTTTCTCATTACTCAACCACCTGTGACAACTCTCGCTTTGCCTTCAGAAAACTTCTCACTATCTGGGCCAGCCTGTGGCCCCGTAGTTAGGTGAACTGGATCCCACATGGCCAACTGTGCAGCTGTAGTCCCTGACCCGGTGGTTTAAGAAACACATCAGGCTCATATCTGTGTATGCCTAAAACCTCAATAAAGAGGGAGAGATGAAAGAGAAGGGATTGCAGTGTGACCATTCCCTATAGGGAGTGATTTCTCTCTCTCTTTCCCCTTCCCTCCCTCCCTCCAGCAAGCATAAGCTCCTGCTAGCAAATTTTAAAAAATAAAAGAGAATACCCCTTGCTATATCCCTGTGGGTTGACTCACCTTCTTCTCAGAGTTGAATCACCTTTTCTTAGAGAAATATCACCTGTCAGTCAAGGACCCAGCAGGAAGGAGATGGCTCATTCAAACAGCAGAATTGAGAAGATTTAAATAAAGGGGCTATTTTCAAGCCTGTAGGTTAAAGGAAGCCAGCAAAGGAGAGTGATGCAGCTGAAGGTGTCAAGAGCAAGATGTTGTAATACCCCAGAGTGTGAGGGCCAATTCATGGGCATGGTTGCATGGGGCAGGAGGGGCTGTGGCCTTTGACAGAGGAAATAGGAACTACTGTGACTGGGAAAGAAAACAAGAGGACTTCGCGGGATTTCTCCTGAATGAGAAATTTTCAAAAGACCATTTGTTCCCACCCTAGTAAGAGGGGACTAGATAAGCTACAAAAATTGTAGATTTCTGGGACCAGCAGTTAGCGTAATGGCTATGTCGCTGGACTCCCATGTAGTCGCCCGCAGTTCGAGTTCCGGACCCGTCGGCTTAAACTCACACCGGGCACGTGTGTGTGTGTGCCCAAGATCTCTAGAGGAGAATGGAGGAGAAGGGATTGCGGAGTGACCATCCCCTCTGGGGGGTGATTTCTCGCTTTCTGTCTCTCTGTCTCTCTGGCGAGCGCACACGCCCTGTAGCCAAATGAAAAACCTCTCCCCTCCCCCCAAAAATTATAGATTTCAAAAAGACTATCAGCGAAATGAAAAGCTAAAGAAATCTAATTAAATCCTAGAAAGTGATGGGACATTCTTAGGAAGAAAGAAACTCACAGTTGCTTTAAAAATATTCATTTATTTATTTATTTATTTATCATGATTTTCAAGCAACCGGGTCTGGGACTCAAACCACAAACAGCCATGTGGAATCCAGAGGCTTGCCTGGAGCCTTCTGTAGCTAGAAGACTGTGTCATAGAAAGGGATAAGGAGATGGGGCTGGCAGGTGGTGTGGTGGTTAAGGGTGCTGGACTCCCACATGGCTGACTACGGTTTGAGTCCTGGACCTGGCAGTTTGCTTTCTCACTTTCCCTCTCTCTCTTTCTCTCATTCTGTCCCTTTCTGATCAAATAAAAATAAATAAATACATACATACATACATATGGTTAAATAAAAATAATTCTTTTTTAAAAAATAATTAAGGGATAAGGAGAAATTAGCTGAGATTTTAACCATCTCGTAAGGCCTGTGTGTGGACTAGTTCGTAATCCAAGGAGCCCAGCCTCCGAGCAAGTCTAAGACTACTTGCCCGCTCTAACCCATGGGTCTTCACTTAGAACAGGGGTTACAAACCACAAAGGCAAGAGAGATTCTCTCTCTCCAACTGTCTCAAAGTACACAGGCCATCCCCAAAGACAAAACAGTTACTAAAAATGGGTCAAGAAAGATGAGAAAAGTCTCCACCAACAATCTGGGTCTTCACCTAATCCAAGGCAGTGGCTGATAATGGGTAAGGGAGAAGCAAAGGAGAGAGATTTCTTTTTCTTTTTCTTTTTTTTTTTTTTGAGAGGTTTTTGCTATAGGGTGCATGCACTTGCCAGACAGAGAGAAACAGAGAGACAGAAAGCAAGAAATCACCCCCCAGAGGGATTGGCCACGACGCAATCCCTTCTCCTCCATTCTCCTCTCGGGATCTTGGACATGCAGGCACACGCGCCCGGCATGAGTCTTAAGCAACCAGGTCCGGGATTCGAACCGTGGTCGACTACGTGGGATTCCAGCGACATAGCCATTACGCTAACTGCTTGTCCCGCAAAAGAGAGAAATTTCTCCGTTGAGTACTGGGAGCATCCTCCAAAGACTAGGACAGAATAGCAGAAAAGACAGGTCTACAGGAATGGAAAGGCAAGGTCACGGCTAGAGAACGGAGGACACAAAGGTGGGCCAGCAGGTGGTGAAGATAAAGTGGCTGGATCCCACGTGGCAGACAGCAAGCGCCAAGTCTGAAACCTGGCTGTTTGAAATACATTATGTGTATTGCCAAGCAACCTAAAAAGAGGGAGAAACGGAGG